CTGTAACAAGTTGACCTCAATCTACAGAAGACAGTTGGGTGTGAGGGCAGATGCAGTGACGCCCTCTCCAGTGCCCGGCTCATTTCTGAAAACATAAACTTACAGGGGAGAAAACAAAACCCTCAGAAGAATGTGCCACTGGTCACTGTGACTAGCGAAAACAAATGATGTGCCAGTCCTATTTCCTCCCACCTTCCTTCACACTGTTACTGTACCTTCGCCTTTGTTTTTCAGTGTAATTGTTTCTCGGGGAACTGTGCACATTTTTATGATATATCTTGATCACCGTTTTCTCTTTTTAAAAAAGAAGTTCTCTAGACTCTCACATTTTCTGATAGATCTGTTTTCCTGGAAGAATAGTGATTTTTAGAATGACACTTAAAACTGCCACTTTTTACACCATTATCAAAGTTTTAGTTGCAAGTACCAGCCAGAGCATGCTCTATAATAGGTATCATAGTTTAAATAAAAAATTCCGGGCATTCTTAGGAAAAAAGAAAAACAAAGAAATTGCTAACACTTTTCTTAATGTAAGAGAATCTAGCAAACACGGGCCAGTGAGATGATTCAGTGGGTGAGGGTATTTGCTCCATAGACCGGAGATGAGTCCCATTCCCAGAACCCACACGGTAGAAGGAAATACCCATCTCCCGAAGGACATCCTCTGACCGACCTCCATGTACACACAGTGGAATGAGCCCCAATAAAGGGGCTAACATGTTAACTGCCCAGGGCTTCGTCACAGATAGAAGCAATACGGCGAGGTCTCTACCTGGATAGAATTACTGTTTTCTTCTACCAAACACCCACGTGTTTTGAAAATTTGATAACTAATATACCAATTTCATTGCTGGAGATTGTGTTAGATATTTCGAGATTTTTACGTGGAGATAGGCTTGGTTGGGCTGTGCAAATGTGGGCTGGGCGGCTGGGCCGTAGGCGTTAATGTAGACCTTCAGGTCACTTTGTGTCAGCCCCCATAGTTGCTAACAGAGCTGCAGCCTTTGTCGATTAAGCCATTCAAATCACCCAAAAATGCCCTCCAGGGAAATGGCACTTAGCAAATTGATCTAGATGTTTGCCTAAATTGGTGCTGCATTGCAGGCAGATAAAGAAGTCGGGAATGTGTCCGGAAACGGCAGTAAGAAGAGACTCTTTTATAGGGAAATAAGGTGTAAGGGGCTGGGGACACAGCTCAGTAGAGCATTTCTAGCCTTCATGAAACCATGGATTCAATTCCCAGCACCTCATAATCCAGGTGGAGTGCTTCACACCTGTAATCCCAGCACCTGAGAGGAAGAGGCAGGAAGGTCACAAGTTCAAGGTTGACCTGGGCTATGTGATACCCTTTCTTTAAGAAGGGGGTGGGGGTGGAGTATGGAAAGAAAGGAACAAGTTATAATGTCAATTCACTGGCTTTTGTGGTTGTTAGAATTTCCCAGGATGTGTGTCATGAACATGCATTGTCTGTGTTCTTCCTCAGGATTCTGACATGGCAGGGCTCAGGTGGGGTCCAGAAATCTGTTTTAATAAGAACTCAAAACCCGGGCATGTTCGAGCCTGTTTATACCTCCAGTACCTTGGAGGTGAAGGCAGAGGACCAGGAGTCCAAGGTCATCCTCAGCTATGCAGTGAGTTTGAGGCCAGCCTGGGCTACGGGAGACCCTATCTCAAAACAAACAAGAAACACATGGTCTAAGCTGCCTTAGTGCTTCTGTTGGGTACTCTATGGGCTGAGGGGCAGCGCTGGAGCAGAAGTGACTTCTGACTGGGAGTGTTTTACCCTCTGACCCAGCGGCTCTCAACCTTCCTAACTCTTGCCACCTTTAATACAGTTCCTCATGCCATGGTGACCCCAACCAGAGAATTATTTTTATTGCTACTTCGTAACCGTAACTTTGATACTATTATGAATCATAATGTAGATATCTGTGCTTTCCAGTGGTCGTGACATCTGTGAAAGGGTTGTTTGACCCCTCCCAAAAGGGTTGAGATCCACAGGTAACTCAGTTCTGCGCCCTGTTCACTTTCTCTCTCTCCAGGGACTTCAGGCAGCCTCCTGGCATAGCCCCTGGAGCTCACTGGCCAAACTCTGCACCCAGTTTTCCTTCCTTTCTCCCTGCTCTCCATGTGTGCTAAATGGAGGTGTTGTGAGCATCACGTATAAGAGGCGGCCATCTGCCTAGTGAACCCCCTTGGTGGGGCATTATGGTGGCCAGAACTTCACTGGTTCTCTTAGCCACAGGTTCCTCCGGACAAAGACTTCATGGGCTGTTCACGACTTGGGAGAAGTTTCAAATCCTAACTTTCCAGATGCCGTGGCAGTGCAGGGAGGGAGGGGATGTGGGTTGGCTTGCCTTTATTGGCAAGCCTCCCTGTAAAGTCAGCTCTGTTCCTAGGAATGTACAGGATTTCCTTTGCCGACTTATATAGGAGCTGAAGGGGACAAGACTGACCACAAAAGGCACCAAGAGTGCCAACTTCCTGTAGTTAGCTTTGCTGGTTGGGGCAGATAGAATTGAAGTGGAAGAAAAGAAGCTGGTGAACCCTGCCGAGATTCACTTGACCCTGGCAGATAGGAATGTGAGTCACAAAAGCAGGGTTTGCCTTTGGGAGCTTCTCTTTCTCTAGATGGCTTTTCAAGCATCAGAGGATGAGCACCAGCCACAGCTGGAAGCATTAGGGGCAGAGGCCTCCTGTGCTCTCCCAGCTTCAATCCTGGGGCACTGTGGCTGGGTCTGGGGCCCGCAGGCCAGCAGTAGTAGCTCTAGGAAGGGGCAAGACAGGCTGAATTAATCTGGCTTGGGCAGAAGGTAGTCTGGGTTCAGAAATGGGTTCTGCCCCTTAGCTGGCTGACCTGAGGCAAGTTAAATTTCCCCACCCCTGGTTTGTTCGAGACTGGGCCTTATGTACCTCACACCAGATATGACCTTGCCAAGGACCGTTTTGAACTCCCGCTTCTGCCTTCCAAGTGCTGAGATTACAAATGTAATTTTTTTTTTTTTTGTGGTGCTTAAACTCAAACCCAGAGCTTGCACATAACAGGCAAGCACTCTCCCAACAGCCCCAGCCCTTAAATGAACTGGTTAGGCGAAGTATACAATCGGTAAAGTGGAAACTTAGCACCACACAGTTGGCTGGGACCACGCATTAGTATTATTACTAGCCCTCCTTGGAGAAAGCTAGGAAGTCCAGCTTGGTCTGGGACATACAAACTTCTCTAGCATGGCCCAAACAGAAACACCGAGCAAACCATTTCTGTATGTTGTTTAGCAACCGAGTGAATACCTTTTGGAATTCGTGAGGCAGATGCCAGATTAAAGCATCTGTATTTGACTAATATTTAAAGGATAAAGGGTGTTTGTACAATCAGGTTCCACAAAGCTTTCAGTATTCTCTATTAGGAAAATTTTATATGTTAAGGCTTAATATGGGACAGTGAAGCAGACGATTAAGTTTATTCTAACACCAAGAGGAATTACCAATGAACTTGCCAAAGCATGGTTTAAATTTTGACTTGTGGCTGGCGAGACATTTAGCAGCCAAGAGCATTGGCTGCTCCCTGTACCCACGTGACAGCTCACGACTGTCAGTTACTCAGTTCCAAGGACCCCACACCCTCCTTGGCCTCCATGGCACTGTAGAAATGTGCTCTACAGACACGCGTGCAGACCAAACACCCACACACATAACATAAAAATTTAGAAGAGTATATGTTTGAGAGCCAGATATGGTGAGGCATGCCTGTCAATCTAGCATGTGGGAGGCTGGGATTGTCAAGAGTTCGAGGCCATCCTAGGCTTAGTACTGAGTTCCATCTCTTACGACTAACACAGGGTAGGGTGGGACACACATCATCTTTATATGCAAATGCTGACATTTCTCAGCATTTGTTGAAGCATCCATGATAAATAATGCTGTCTAAATCTAAGACGTGCATGACAATGTGTCTGGAAATGTTTTTCCACAATCAAGTGAGTGACTCTGCCATCAATTGTCTGTCTTGTTACCGTCTGTTTTTTTTTTTTTTTTATATGCACTTGCCTGGTGAGACTACCCACGGCTTCCTGAGGAGCTGCTGCTGTGGGTAAGAGCCCTTGCTGTGGAAACGTGAGGACACGAGTAGCCCAGCAAAGATGGCGGAGACAGGATGCTCCTACGAACTCACTGGTTGTTGGCTAGTCTAACCCAGCAGGTAAATTTCGGAGTCCATGAGAGATCCTAACTCAAAGGACTAAGGGGGTGAGCAATAGAAAAAGACATTTGATGTCTTCCTCAGGCCCCACATGCATCCAGGGGCATGATACCCCAATTCCCACCTGCATATTCACAGATTTTACCATGAAGACTGGATGTGTGGTCACACAGCTGCCATCCCGGCATTTCGAAAGCTGGGGGGTGAGGGTGCAGAGTGCGAGGCCAACCTGGGGTCTATAGTGAGACGCTGGTCAAAAAACCATAAACACTCACACGCCCTCCACACACACCACATACTCACACACATATCCACCCCCTGCCCTGCATGCACACACACACACTTCTACATATATATCCACAAACCATACATACACGCACACGCACATGCACACAAGCACTCACATACACAATCTCGCACACACATACACACACACACCATGTAAACACACACATGAAAGTAAAAAGGAAACTAGTTATGGGAAAGGGGCTCAGTGGAAGACAAAAGGGGGAAAAGAGAAGATGATGTGAGGTGAACCATGCTCTAATACATTATATACATGTATGAAATTATCAGTTAACTTAAAAATTAAAAAATAGCAAAGAGGTGGGAGTATGTACCGTTGCCTGATTCCTATACACCATTATGCCCATTCATCCAAAATCAAGTATTGAGTATCTGTGACACGCTGGACACTGGTTACCTTGGCAGGAGACAGAGGAGAGTGGACACTGAGGGTTCCTACAGTCCTTCCCTTCACTGTTCAGGACCCAGCCAGCCCCGGCCTCCCTTTGTTGAAACTCACATTTATGTTTCCGCCCTGTAGCAGTCTTGAGGAGAGCTTGATGAACAGTGCCAAGGACACACAGAACAGGCTGGAGCTCAGGCACAGGTCCAGGGCCTGAAGTGCCAGGTGATACTCTTCATAGCGGAGGGGGTCCACACAGACTGACGGGAACTTCGCGTACGGGAAAGGGAAGGTGACTGCGTAACCAAGGTAATTGGTTCCCGCCGCCCCTGAAAAGGAGTAGAAGCAGTACGGGCCAAGGAGGACCGATTCCAAGGCTATTGCAAAATGAAGTGGACATCCCATAATGCTCAGAGTTACGAAGGTGAAAACAGCTTCCCACTGAAAATAAGCAGAGACAAACTGTTACTTGGAGAAAGAGTGTGGCCATTAATTTCCTCTATGTGGAAGAGCAGAGAAGCACGCTGCTTTCATTTCTCTTCATCTGTTTTCGAGACAAAGCCTCTTATAAGTCCAGGCAGCATGTTTTATGTTGCCAAGGGTAGCCTTGAACTCTTGACCTTTCCTGCCTCTACCCCCCACGTGCCACACTAGATTACCCTACCCACCCATCCCGGAGCTGCCATTTAAAATTTAATCCCAAGGTCTTCCATAAACCAGGCCAACACTCTCCTCCTGAAACTCCATCCCTAGTCTTCCCAACCCTCCTTTTAGGTTTTTCTTACTGCCAATCTATGCTACAGGAGGAAATCATGTCTGCCAACTTGAGTCAAAATGAAATCAATGAAGTTTTATTTGTTTATTCCTTATCATACACAGTGCAAGTTTGTGTTGGGGGGGGGGAATGAATGGACCAAATCCCTTCTCTAGGACCTGCTACTCAGGGTACAGACTGGGTAGCTCTGCACAGCTCAAAAGCCTCTCAGAAAGGTTGCCTTTCAGACTCCACCTATACCTCCATCTGCATTGTAGCTGGAGCTGAGCCCCTGTCTACAGCCTTTGCTATGGAAATGAGGCCTACAATCAGATACTGTGCTCTTTTCTGCAGCACGGAGAAGAATGCTGTTAAACAGGAGCTCGCATGGAGAGCGCATCCTTTCCTGGCCGGAGAGAGTGGGAAGGAAACTTCAGAGTTGAGATGTGAACTGCTTTATTGAGAGGTGTAGTTCAGTAAGTAGGGTACTGGCCTACCTACTTGGCTTCAACCCATAACACATGCACACACATGCAACACACACACACACACACACACACACACACATACACGGACGCATCCAACATTTAAGCAGAAGAGCCTGCACTTCATTGCTACAAAATGATGAAATTCTGTAGCACTGATACTGACCCCAAACAATAACCATGAACTTAGAGAAATTATTTGGAGTAAGAACTGGATTTAAAAAAAAACTATACATTTTAAACATAGCTTATAAAATTGGGCAAGGTGCACATGCCTTTAATGCCAGCACTTGGGAGGTGGGAAAAGGAGGATTAGAAATTTGAGGTCAGCATCAGCTATACTGCAAGTTCAAGGACAGCCTGGGATACATGAGACCCAGTCTTGATACACACACACACACACACACACACACACACACACACACACATACACACGACTGTCACATCCACTGTATCATCCTCACTGACATTTTTTGTATTTACCAAGTATCTCTGGGTCCACTGTCTGTGAGCAAGCAGTACAAGTGTCCCAGCTGTGATGGCCTGTGAAAAGAAAATTGGAAAAAAAATAACATCTACAATCGAAGGGACCTCTGCAAAGAGTTCAATCTGTCTCACAGCTTGACAACTTTATCACAAGCTGGAAAGCAGGGCAAAGGGTGAGATGGATTTACGGCTCTGAGCTCTTCATCTGTGAGAGGAACTGTGTTGACAGGGAGGAAAATAAGCCATTAGAATCATCAGGACATGAGTCACACCAGCTCATTTTCCATTCTCTGTGTTGCCTCTGCCATCATAGCCACCACCTCCGCTCCTGTCAGGTCACCGCAGTTAAAGCTTGGCTTCCTAGATCTTGAGCTGTGCTTTGTGTACTGATCTGAATGAGAGACGCCCCCATAGGCTGGTGTATTTGAACACTTGGCCCCAAGTTGGTGGCACTGTTAGGGAAAGGTATGGCATCTTTAGGACTTGGAGCCTTGCTGGATGTCGTATGTTCAAGTGTGTGTGGGGGATGGGCTTTGAGGTATTTCTGCATGCTTCCTCTGCTCTCTTCTTACTCTTTGGGAGTGGAAATGTAAAGAGCCATCTTCCTCCTTCTGCTGGCATACCACAACTTTCAGGCCATCATAGACTCTAACACTCTGGAACCATAAGACAAAATAAACTCTTAAGTTGCTTTTGGTTATGGCTTTTTTTTTTAATCACAGCAACAGAAAAGTAACATGTGTGTGTGTGTGTGTGTGTGTGTGTGTGTGTGTGTGTGTGTGTGTAATTTTAGAGATTTTTAACATTTATTTTTATCTGACCTCCTCTATGTGTGCATATGAACGTGTGTGTGTGTTTGCATGTAGGTAGGATAAATTGATGGGATTGGTTCCTTCTTCTACCATGTGGGGCCTGGGGATTGAATTCAGACAGCAGAGTTGGCTGCAAGCATGTTTACTCACTTGAGCCATGTTTTCATATTTCTAGCAAATTTATAAAGCTGCAAATGGGACAAACTGGAATGGAGATCTGTCCCCAGCCCCAGAAAAAAATTTCTAGCTGAGGCCTGATCTTTCGCAGGCACCCTTGAGCTGCTAATTGGGACATAGACACATGGCCTCTGTTTCCCAAATAATAAAGACAGTCATTAGAAGGGATGTGTGGCATAGCATTTAGTGTTCTTGGGTACAGTGCTATCCACTTTTATGAAGGGATTTTATAGTTCCTATTCAAAGACAAAAACCCAAAGTGCAGAACGAAAATAGTTAATAAAGAAGGGAATGGTGTACCCAGAATGCTGCAGTAGATAATGGAAAAAGAATTTCTGAGCTCATCTCAGATTCATCACGAGGTCTGATGAAGGAGCCATTCGTGGTTATTGAGACTAGAAATCGCTTATCCCCAAACCACAGAAATCCTTACTCCCAGTCAAAGCATGAATTTTGAGGTCCAGATAGAAAGTCAGGAAGAGATGAGCCCAAAATTAGATATTGAGTATAGATAGGTTTAAAAACAGCACAGTTTTTATTTTGACAGAGGACCAACTATAATGGCATGCACAGAATTGGTTAACTTAAGGGGGAAATCAGAGCTTCGCCCATGTGAGCTAACAGGGTGCTGCTTGCAGAGGTCCAAGTTTCATGTATTTATTGTTTTGAAACTTGGATCTAGAGAAACGGGGAGAGGGGAACACCCACTCGCGCATGGCTCCTGCTGCTGAGCCCGAAGCTCACAGACTTGGCTTGGTTCTATCATGAAAGTCCTGTGGATAAAAACAGAACCATCTGTAGTCGAAAGAGGTTCCTGGCTGGATTCTGCAAGAGGAACCTTTCCAAGGGATGTTAAGGAGGCAGAGACGGTGCAAACAGCACCACAAAGAGGAGAATTACTAGGAGCAGTAGGAGCAGAGAAATGGAGCCCGGGCTGTCTAAGCTTACAGACTGAACCATGCTCTTCTCTGGTCAGTCACAGGAGCTCAGAAGCAGAAGGAAAGAGGGGGTTGCTCCTGTCCCTTTGCTGGTGAAGCTATGGAAGATAGCTGACATTATGGGATGCTGAGATTCAAGCTGGCCTTAAGTGTGCTGGCAGGGGTTTCTTTCCTTTTGAAAGTTGAAAAGCACTGCAGAACTGCAGTTTCCTGTTATTTTGGTCAAAGTGGCCAGCTTGGATTTTGCCTTGTTTACACACAACTGTGAAAAAGCTCTTTCACTGAGCAGTAGCCTGGGATGAAGGCTGTTTGGGAACATCTTAAAATCACCTGGCTGATGGGGCGGGGGTGGGGGAGAGGGTTGGAGGGGGGGTGCCAGAGCCAAGCACACCCATCTTCCTTGATGTGCACTCTCTTCTATTTTTAGATAAGGACCAGGAAAAAATGAAAAAGACAGAGATCTGAGAGCAGAGAAGAGGGACAAAAAAACAGTGAGGAAGGAGCGGGTGGGAACTGGAGGGCTGTGTGGTTGTGGGGAGGACAGGGAGGAGAGGTGTCTGGTAAGGGAAGAGAGAGCGTTCCCCTCCCTCTGCCATGCTATCGGCTTGCTTTCCAGGGATGGCTAACACTTGCCTCACTTGCTAATTGTGAGGCCTCCCCCTCGATGTTTAAATTGCCTAAGGACAGCACTTGGTTCCCAGAAGCAGATGAATTAAAGGAAGCAATAGAAATGGAAACATTAGTGGCCTCAGATGAAGAGAGAATATAACCTAGTCATCTACAAGCGCCTATGCTGATCTGCTATAAACAGGGAGTGAGGTGAGCACCATGCAGTTGAAGTAATGATAATATCTCTTTATATCAATTATATTTAACCAATGTATGGCAGACATAGCGGTAAACACGTTATGTGTGTTAACACATTGACTCTACATAATGAGGCTAAAGATGTAGTTCTGTTGTCAGAGTGCTTTCCTCACACACAGAAGTCCTGATTGCGATTTCCCGCTTTTCCTGAACTGGGCATGGTGGCACACATCTGTAGTCCTAACCCTTGGTGCATAGAGGCAGGAGGATCAGAAGTTCAATGTCATTTTCCATTATACAGAGAGTTTGAGGCCTGGGCTACACAAGAGCTTGCGTTAGTTTCTTTCTATTTCTGTTATAAAATTCCCTGACAGAAACCGCCTAAGGGACAAAGAATTATTTTGGCTTATAGTTTTGGGGAGATACTGTCCACTGTGTGGAAAGACATGGAAGCAGACAGAGAAGGCAAGACAGCAGGACTAAGAGGCTGGCCGTTCACACCGCATCTGTACTCAGGAAGCAGAGGACAGGACATAGGGGCGACCTATAAGGCCTCAAGATCTGTCCTGAGTGACTGACTTTCTTTTTAATCCAGATTCCATGTCCCGAAGCTTCCACAACCATTGCAAAGAGTGCCACTAGCTGGGAATCAAGTGTTCAAATGCCTGCACCTGTGGGGGACATTTCCCACTGAAAGTAGACTCTTTCTTAAACATAAAGTTAAAGAAACTGACGTGAAGATACTCTTCTCTTCTCAAGAGGCTAAGAGGCTGTGCAAGATTACTAAGAACACCAAATAATAGCAGCATGAACATGATTCCAACTCTCACTGGAATTTGCAGTCTGGATAAAAACAAATGTCCACATCCAAATGTCCTCATTGAAGAGGCTGAGGAGAGGTGGCTCAGAAGAGTGCATACTCTTGCAGAGGACCTGAGTTCAGCTCCCAGCACCCATGGCAGACAGCTCACACCTGCCTGAAATGCTGGCTTTAAAGGGATCTGATGTCCTCTTCTAGCCTCTGAGATAACTGCCTCTCTCTCTCTGTCTCTCTGTCACTCTCTTATCTCTCTGTGTGTGTCTGTGTGCATGTGTCTGTGTCTCTGTCCCTCTCTCACATACATTATAAACAAAACAATTAATTTACCAAATAAAATAAAAATAGGCAAGAATGAGTGTTTGGCACACAAGAAGAACTTAGGTATTACGTTCAGGAGGAAAATGGATGAAGGCTCCAGGGTAAATAGAGTTTGGAGCAGGTCTAAAGGATGGCTTTGATTGGCATGACCATAACAGGGGAGGGCAGGCTCAGCTGGAGACCCATATCTGTAGAGGTGAGGAAGTGATTATGTGCTTGAGGCCCATACAGGGAGGAACCCAGACTTGCAGCAGGGGTGGGGTGGGGTGTCTTGGTGAAAAAAGCAGAACATCAGAGTTGAAAGCTATGTTACAGCAGGATGAGGGGGACCTCAAAAGCTAGGTCAATACATGTTGGGTTTATCTGGGGACAGCCAAGTAGAAGCAGCAGCAGCTAGTCTGGCTCACACTACAGTGAAGACATCTGAGACAGATGTTGCATACACGCTGGACTGGAATGGGTGGGGTCTCAGGTCCCGGGATGACCCAGGTCTTTAGACTTTAAACTCCACTCATGGTGAACAGTACATCTTGTTTCTTGGTTTAGCTACAAATCCTTTCGGACCGTTTTTTTTTTTTTTTTTTTTTTTTTTTTTTTTTTTTTTTTTTTTTTTGTCTATTTTTTACTGCTTTTTTTTTCTTCTGTTTTTTTTTTTTTTTTTTTTGAGACAGTGTCCTTTTAACAGAAATATCAGGGCCAGAGTCTGGACCCTGGCAGCCCTAACGAGCCACATCAGCTGCCCATTCTCACAGTGGGAGGAAGAACTGAGAGGCCCATCCTCTCTGCCAAGCTCATCTTCAGCATCTTACTAGGAGGTTTATGTTTGGGCAGAGAACGAGAGGTAGGCGGGCAGAGGTGAACAGTCTTGGTCAAGGTGAGTTCCTGGCTCCTCTGCAAGGTTGTCTGAGATTCCCAGGCATACTTTGGTTCCTCAGAGCCCATTGTTTCAGTGGCCTCATGGTCAAAAGGAGGGCACACAATGTCCCTTTGGAGCATCTTCGTTACTTTTAGAGCAGTTATAATTCATGTGACTCAGGTTAGCCTCCAGTTCAGCCTAGGATGACTTAGAACTTCTCGTCCTCCGGCTTCCATCCCCCAAGTACTGATATCATGTGCCACCAAGCCCAGTTTACGTGGTTCTGGAGATCCATCCTAGGGCTTCACGTATGCTGACTGTTGCTAAGCACCCTACCAACTGAGCTAATCCTGCATCCCATCAGTCTAATTTTATATCTAATAGGTTAAGTACCAGATCTTTACTATGTGGTAAACTACTATTCTCTATTCTGTCATATTCTATTCTTTAAAACTGCTGTTTGCTGCCCTGTGCATTAGTTTTATAATCTGCTAATGCAGAGATTCTCTACAGTTTACATTTCATTTTTGTCTAGATATAAAACTTGAGTAGGGTGAAAAAGCAGAAGAGATGGGAAGGCGCACAGTGCCCAGGAAGAGAAAGGTGTACTTTGGGACATACATTGGGAAAATCTAACACCCCATGGCAGGTGATTTAAGTAGGGCTGGTTTAGGGCATTGCTTCACAGTGCAGGCCTTGAGCTGATGGCATGGTGTTCTCTAGTATTAAAAAAGTTTTTAGTGCCAAAGCATGAACCTTGAAGGGATCAGCAAACTAGACTGGGCAACCTATCCGTAAAAGGGGAGATAAAGTGACAGTAGAGAGAAGCAGAGAAAGGTAATCTATTCATCATGGTCATGTTGGGAGGAGGAGAAACGAGAACCCCCCCAAGTCCACCTTCAGATCCCAACATGAGGTTTATCTTCATACAGAGGGCAAGGAATACGGAAGAGTAAGCAGTGAGGTCCAAGACGTTCCCCAACCCATCACTGGCTAGATTCAAGTTCATCTAATCAAGGGACTCTGAAAAGCTGTCAGGCCTGTGTGAAACCTTTATTTGGAGATAGGTTCCTTCCCTGATGGCGGCCTTTTCCCTCCCTTGGCATGAGATTCCTGGGAAAGCTCCTATTCCTTGGGGCCCGTTGTTTCAGTAGCTGGGTAGCCGAAGGGAGGGGCACACCTATCTGTCTTTTGGAATATCTTCCCCACTGCCAGAGCTGGTGAGTGGGAGCTGACTGATGGGCACTGCTGAGGCCCGCCTTCACCCAGCCCTGACCCTGCCGTCCACAGATCCCCAGCACTAGCCTTGCTATCTTCCACCCCTAGTGGCTTTCATAGTCTGAAAAGAGGCTACTTTAGTGGGAAAAAAAAATTGAGTCAAGGGCCATTCTGGGTTTGAAATTGATTTCCCAACACAAAGAAAAGGAAGCTGGAGAAGAGAGAATTGGTTTGGATGACTGGATGACTAATTTGTTTTCAGACCGGCTGACTATAGAATGGTTTGCACTATTTAAGTGGAAAACTAACCATTGACAAAGATGAATTTGACCAGGCTCTCCTCTTCCTTGTGAAATCTTAGAAGGGGGCCCGAGAGATGGCTCAGCAGGTGAAGGCACCTGCTGCCAAGCTGAGCCCTGAGTTTGATCCCACGTGGAGGAAGGGAGAACGGGCTCCCGAGTGTTCCTCTCTCACCTCCACAGGTACCCAGGGCACCCGTATGCACTCACACACCCAGAACATGAATTAAGTAAGGAAAACACAGTAAGGGACAAACCATTTTACCCAAAACTCCAGTGAGCAGCCCATCTTCAGTGCCAGTGATGTTTGATGACCCTGACTGTGTACTTCGTCTCTCTATCCTTCGGCATCACCCTGGAAGATAAGGTCTGTCCTAGATAATTGCCTAGTCTGTCCTCAGCAAAAATCCCCATGATTTCTCCTTGCTGTTTCCTCTTAGGAATTTCCTACCTACTGGCCCACACCCTGCTCCTTGACCTAAACTTTCTCCTTTGCTGTAATATTTGGAGTTGAACTTGGTCCTGCACTGAGGTTTCCTTTCTCCATTCTGCAATGCTACTGGCTAAAATCTGGTTTCATTATTGTATCCACTGCCAGACATTGGCTTTTCTCTGATACCATCTGGTAGCTGAGAAGTCCCTTGACTGCTAAGCCACCACATAGCCAAGCCCCTTCTGCAGCAATTGAGGAGCCTGGCATGCAGGGCTCAAGGGGAACCTTAATCTTGTATTAAGGGGGCTTTGGGAGCTGGGTGGTAGCTTGTTTCTGGCCAAGACTCTCCAGGTCTGAACTCTGTGACCAAGCTCATGGGATCTAGACTCCCTCTCCTTCAGAAATGGTCCTTCAGGCCAGATGTCCCAGGATTAATAGGGCTCAGGGCTGAAGGTACTATGACCTGCTGCTGCATGCTTCCTAGCAGCTGGTGCCTTTAAATAACCTCTCTCAGACAGCGTAGGAAAATCGTGTGCCAAGTGGCTTTCAGAACACAATTAGCAGAGTCTGTGGACCAACACTCATGCTGGACTTAGAAAGTCTTGAATAAAAGGCGTTGGGCAAACACAAGGGACTGGACCACTTGCGAGAAAATGTCTCTTGTAAGTCTCAAAAAAGAAATACAGAGTCATTTGTGAAGGGAATGGCAATAAGATGGGAATATACAAACCATGTTTTCACCGGAGGAGCACGTGCCTCAGCAGCAATTAAAGAAGTGATTGGCAGGGGTGGTGTGGACTAGGCAGGAGCCTGGCAGCTCTGACCTTCATCAGACAAACCTGTGGCTCAGGAAGAAACTCAAGAGGGGAAAAAAAAAAAAAAACACGTTGTTCTAAATTTAGAGGGGGAAGGAGTGAGCAGTGCACCGCTTTCCTCTCAGGAGGATTTCTCCTGCACAGAGCCAGCCTCACCTACAGTCCTAATCAGAGTTGACCTCTCTAAGGCTGTGGCTGTATCCCCAGAAAGCAGGGCCCAGGGGGCATCCACCGGGTCAACAGTATCCATTAAAAGCTACTTTTTCAAAATCTAGCAGGTGGCTCCCTTTGTTCCAAGCTGTGGAGATAGGGTGGTAAAGAAAATAGAAACAGAACCCCTCTCCTTGCATAGGGCACAATAGTTAGGTTATGTAGTAATGTCAGTCGGAGTAGGGCTATAGGATTGGGAGTGGCAGATGGAGGCAGGGGTTACAGTGTTAAGGACTATTTTTGACAATTACTTCATTTATTTTTATTTACTTACTTATTTGTGTGAGGCTGGGAAACGGGCGCTTGGGTAGCATAGGGCACGTGTGGAGATCAAAGCACCTCCGCTGGGAATTGATTCTCATGGTCCACCATGCATATTTCAGACTTCAAACTCGGGTCTTCTGGCCATGAGCACCTTAACCCGTTGGGCCAGTTTGCTGGCCTCCAGAGGTTGCAGTTTTAAAAAGGGTAAAGCGGAAAGACATTGGTGGGAAAGTGACGTTTGGTTGAGAACTGATGGTGGAGTTGGGTGTATAGCTCTGTCGGCTGAGTGCTTGCTTGCCTTGCAACACCAAGCTGGCTGAGTAAGGCTGGTAGCAAGTGATTCAGAGTAGAGAGTCTGAGCAGAACACAGGGTTAAGGGAAAGGTTCAGTGTTTGCTAGCAATCAAGTACAAAGCTCTTGTCAACAGTCCTTGGTCAACTGTCTTCATTCCCACCAAGCATCTTACGGTTAGACAGTTGTTCTCATTGTCTCTCTCTCTCTCTCTCTCTCTCTCTCTCTCTCTCTCTTTCACCCATGAAAGTCACCAGAGAACATGAAAAATCAAGAGGGACCTAACTGACTGAGACTCCTGCTTTGGATCACATAGTAAGAACATTAAAGTCAGAACCTGAATGCAGGCTACTTCCCTGTGCCCTGTACCTCTGCCCCTGTGCCAGCTCCAGACTGCCTCCTTCCACCTCCCGGAGCCACTCAGTTGTGGCAGGCTAGACACACTCATGCCTCATGCTATTTCCCTTGGCCTATTGCTAAAATTTATGTTCAGCCTACATCAAGCCTACCTCAGATATACATGACCTTAGTCAAAACTAAGTCCAGTGTGTGACACTAGCTTGTAAGGGATAGGCAGCTGCTCAATAATCAAAGCCTCACTGTGTAGCCCAGGCTAGCCTCTAGCCCACATCTCTGCCTCAGTCTTCCAGATGCTAGGATTACAGGTCTGTGCCACCACACACCATGAGGATTTCTCAAACATTCCATCGCTGCATACAAGGTATACAAATACACATGAAACAATACTAGGAAAAATTATATATTTAAAGTCCAACTAATGGAAATTTCTGCTCTAAAGTCAGGAATATGATTTTCTGCAAAATATAGACTTCTTTGAATTATTGGAAAACTCTTAAGTATTATTTTACTTCCCCTGTCTTCTCGCCCTCCTCTGCGTCAGGATGTTTAATGAAATATGTCTTACCAAAGCTCCGTTCCAGATGGGACAGGCAATCCAAACGCTCCATCCTACGTACCAGAACTTGCAGGAAAAGACAGGGAAGAAAGCAATGATTCCAGAGAAGATACTGAGGCCCCCCAGTGTCACCAGGGCACAGCCAGCAGCCTGGTAGAGGCCCTGCATTTTCCTCTGTGCCTTAGACTTTGCTCTGAGATATTTGTTACCAAAGCAGGAGGCCAGGCCAGACCTCTGTAAACAGAGGTTTCTTAGAGACTGTAGCTGTGATGACTGGGCATGGGAAACAACGTCCTGAACACAATGCTCGCTCTGTTTCCCAAAGGTGAATGGAAGGAACGATAGAATTCTGGATGTCAGTTAGCCATGACACACTCTAACACCGTCCTCCTCAGAGGGGAGCGGGGGCAGGAGATTTCTCATTCTGGACTGGGTGCCTTGACTCCCTCCATTTGCCCTGTCTTGGGGAGTGACCACTTCCTGGCTTAATCAGATTCAAAGGCTCACTGACTGAGCTGATTGTTTCTGAACTCAACCTGCCTGGTGGTTACAGCATGAAGCCAACATCCTCTGTGCACAATAGAGCCACATTCCCAGCAAAGGTTCCCACAAAACAAAGCAAGAATTACACACGCAGACCACTTCTCATTACATTTAACTTAAACGGTTTAAAGCAGACAAGTCTTTCAAAGCTTAATTCCATACAATTATTTATTATTATGATTTTAGAGAACATCTGGGAACCAGAACAGGAGACCAGGTTGGCTCTGAATTTATAAGGATCTTCCTGTCTCTGTCACCCATCAGCTAATAATATAGGAATCATGCTCAACTATTTTTAATTTTTTAAATTACATATATTCTTGCTGGAAAAGTGGTTTGTTGATTAATAATACTGACTGCTCTTCCAGAGGACCTGGGTTAGCTTCCCAGCTTCCACTTGGTGGCTCACAGGTATCTGTAACTCCAGTTGCAGGAGATCAAATACCTCTTCTGGCATCCTTGGGCACCAGGCATGCATGTGGTGAACACACATATACACAGGCAAAATAACCACAAGCATTAAATATATTTAAAAAATACATTTATTTAGTGTGTGTGTGTGTGTGTGTGCATGTGTGTGTGTGTGTGTGTGTGTGTGTACATGTGTATGTTTTGAAGGTGGATGCTTATGCCATAGCATGGCATCTTGCAGGAGACAGTCCTCTTCTTTCCTCATGTTGGGTCCAGGGATTGGACTCAGGTCATTAGGTTTGGAGGCAAACGCTCTCTTGCCAACTCAGAACATGGATTTTAAGCCGGGCACAGCAGGGATCTGATTCTGGTTTCGTGCCCTTCTAGGTTAGTGTCCTAAAGAAAGAATGAGCTTCTTATATTTTCTGGGTCTGTTTCTTTATAGGAGAAACAGGTGACAGTGTGGCTGCCTTACCAGGTACTTGGGTAAGAGCATTCCTTGAGCTCATGTGTGAAAATGCTTAGGAGCAAACTCTGGGCTGAGAACATACTTTGAAATCACCTTTCTTCAGGGTTCTTGTGACATCATCCATTCTTTTGTTACCTTAGAAACGTTAGGCTTGACTCTTCTTGACCAGTTTGGTAAAGATTCCCATGTACAGGAGAGAAAAGTCTCTTTCTTTTTAGTTCTCTGCACTTCTTTCCTCCCTCTGTCTTTATCTGTAATAGCCGTGAGTTGACCCAGATTTCAAAGCAGTTGCATCCCAGATACTCAGAATCTGGGAAAGCCGCTCTGGCTGTCTGGCATGGCTGCTGCTCTGTGTTCCCTCTCAGTGCTGGGGGCTAGATTCTCAGGTTGCTTCCTTTCCACATAAACCAGAGAAGTTCCTGGAGAGCAGAGAACATGTGAGGCTCCTGCACCCTGTAAATATGTGTGGCCTCTCCGACAGCCTTAGACGGCACCTGGACAGAGCAGATACACTCTAGCAACTGCTCGATGAATCCGTCCATGAAGATGATAGCCTGTCCAGTCTGTATCTGTGTTGCACCAGGGTGGATATGTGTCAGTTCAAGTTCACCGGAGCTAATGCCGGGGCCAGCGTGTTCCCTCGCGCCTGGTGAGAGAGTCTGGAGGGAAGACAGATTTGTCTGCCTTCGAATTTGGTTGCTCTGTTTTGACTTTTTCCTTTGCTCCTTATCTCAAGGTTACAGCTCTGTGGTTTGCTGGCACCCTGGGTCAGCTCACTCTCTCCTGTTGGCACAGTTGGAAAACAAAGAGTGTTGAAATCCCCATTGTTAAACAGCGCACAGCATGAAGGATAACAGACAGGGAGAATTCTTTGTTTTAATTTGGGGCGACTTTAAGTCCCTGTAACATTAGGGATCAACACATGTCAACATGATGTTATTAGTCATTAAAAGGTGTCACCACTAACTATGGCCAAGTGAGAAGTGAGGGAGAAATAGAGGTCAGCCTCCAGATTTCCAGAGAGCCTGGGTTCTCGTTAACCTTGTGAAGGCAAGAACATCTTTCAGGGAGCACAGAAGTAATGGGCACCTGTCCCCAGCTTCCGCTCCAGCCATGGCTCTGTACACAGGAACCAGCTGCTCCCTCCACTGCGGAGCTCCTGCAGAAGTTCTCAGGCGCTTCCATTTGGTACCAGCTTTCTAGAATTCTTCTAGGAGGAGACAGAGTCAAAGTCTTTGCACACCTCACCTTCTCTTTAACCGGGAGGAAGCTCAAGATCTCGGCCCAAGGAAGAATGGTGGAGGCTCCACAGACATTTCAATCCCACTTAGCCGCCAAAGACAAAATGAAAAAAAGGGAAGCACCGTTGGCGTGTGTGTGGAGGTCTGTAATCCTGGAGTCTGGGAAGCTGAGGCCAGGGGATCGGCACTTCAAGATCAGCTTGGACCACACAGCAAATCCCCGTTTCAACCCCTCCCACAAACAGAATGAAATGACACAAGAAGAACCATCCTGAACCGACATTCGAATCAAGCTCCCTCCTGCACACCGCACACAAGCGAGCAAGGAATCGTAGCTTCACAAAGGCTGGATGGTGGCAGAGATGCCCAGGGTGGATGCCATCACCCTCTAGCTTGTAAAGTACGCCCCTGTCCCTTCCTATGTGTTCCCTGTGCATAACAGCCCTGCAGGTGCTATGGGTTAGGGCTTAAAAGGGTTTAAAACTGCAGGAAGAGAGTCGTTTTCATAGCCTGTAGAGCAGAAAGAGCACACTCCCTGCTGTCGAGAATACCTGAGTTTGTCAGCGTGGGGGCGCACACCTGTGATCCCGAGGGAGGTAGAGTTGGAGGATCAGCAACTCAAGGTCACCCCCGACTACACAGCCAGGTAGAAACTGGTCTGGGCTACATGAGGCCCTGTTTAAAAGTGAGTGATGGTGGCAGGGAGATGGCCCTGCACAATCATGAAGGCCAGAATTGGAATCCCCAGAACCAGAAGGCACGTAAAGCTGGATGTGGGAGAGAAAGTGTGTGTGTGAATGTGTGTATGTGAGTGAGTGTGTATGTGTATGTGTGAGCATGAATGTAAGTGTGTATATGTGTATGTGAGAGTGTGTGTATGTGTGTATGTGAGAGTGTGTGTATGTGTGAGTGTGTGTGTGTATGTGTGCGAGTGTGTGTATTTGAGTGTGGGTGTCTGAGTGTGTGTATGTGTGAGTGTGTGAGTATGTGTGTGAGTGTGTGTGTGTGTGTGTGTGTGTGTGTATGTGTGTGAGTGTACTCCCACTATGGTGAAAAAAAGATGGGGTGTGGAGAGAGAGGAGAAAAATATAAGAGAATTTCCTGGTATCTGTCAAGCCAACTAGCTCAGCTTACCTAATGGTAAGTAAAAGACCTTGCCTCAAAGCAGAAGCTGAGGCTGGACACCTGACGCTGTCCTTGGACAACCATATGTATGAGAGGACCATATACACATCTCTCTTCTTCTTTCTCTCTCTCTTTCACCCTCTCTTTGTCTCTCCCTCTTCTCCCTTCCAAGGAAAAAGAGATAAGACTGTTGTAGCATATTTACTAAATTCTAAAGGGCTTTTCTATGACTCAGCTAGTTCCCCAATAATTGAGACAGAGACTTATTGATTTATTTAAACAGCTTTAGCACAAAACTGGGGCAATTTACAAAAATTTTCTAAGCTAATCTTGTTATCTCCCAGCTGCATTCTCCAAGTTACTTGCCAATATGTCATCCTGTCTGGGCTGGATCTTTTTCATCAGGCCACCGGTATTCTTTCTCCATCTTTTTCTGTCTCTTTCTCTCTTTTTCCTCCTCCTCCCAGCCTCATGGTCCCTTACCTCTAACCCCAAGCCTGGAAATGGAAGCTCTGCCTACCTCTATTCTGCCCAATAGTTGGATGTCAGCAACTTTATTAACCAATCAGAGATAATTGAGGAGCAAAGTTTATACAACAAAGACTGCCATACATGAAAATGCTCTTGTCAGGACCTCAACCAGATCTTGGGGGCCAGAAATTAGCATTTGTATACAAGAGCACCAGACCAACCCTTAACAAAGATCCTAGTTTAGTATTGAAGATTCTATCTAATGTGTAAAACAGTACCAAAAAATGAAAGGAATTAACAGATAACGCCAGTGCAGTAACTGACTCCAGCAGGGTTCACCAATGGACAGTAAAGCCACTGGCAGGAAGGGAGAGAATGACATTATAGTTTACGTCACTTGCCATAGCGCTTGCTTGCACACATGAAGCCCTGCTTCAGTCTCTAGCATGGGCAAATAAATATAAACATAAGTAAATTTAGACACATACATGTGTGTCTATAAAAACATATACATATATATGTACAAATATATATTTCTTCAGTTATGACTTTAGCCAAATGATCAAACTTTACAGGACAAACTGACATCTCATACACACACACACACACACACACACTCACACACACACACAAAGGCAAACACATATCAGTTGAGGGAAGGAGAGAGAGAAAGAGAGATAGAGAGGGACAGAGAGAGGAGAGAGAAAGCTGTTTGCAGCACTGGGAATTGAGCCCATGGCCTCACACACAGTAGCCAAATGATATGCCTCTGAGTGAGTCCCTACCACCCTTTTAACACTTTATTTTCATTCAAGGTCTTGCTAAGTTTCCCAGTCTGATCTTAAACCCATTCCGTAGGCCATGACAGCCTTGAAGTTGTGATCCACTTGCCTTCAGCCTCCTGAGTA